AGGGAAATTTGGGGTCTCACCTCATAATGTCCTTGTTCATGAAAAAGTTTTCCTAAATTGTAGAGGCAGCTGGTAACTGAGCTCTTATGAGCATGAGGATCCTTCAAATTTTCATCCGGAATCTCTGAACACTTCAAAAATGTCCTCCTCGCTTCCTCAGTCTTTCCTTGATTCATTAGAATAATACCAGTATTTAAATAAGCAGCTGTGAAGGAGGGGAAAAAAAGTTGTTATATGTTTTACTGAAGCTCTACAATATCATTATACTTGTTCTCCATTTTATATCCACAAGCCTAAGATAGTCATAATGAAAAGCAACCATTGTGATAATTCAATCTGGCCTCCTATCTAACACATGGCTTAAGACTTCCCTAAATGTTGGCTGATGCCTACTTAGAAGAACACTATTGCAAATAATTAATTGTTTTGTTTAAGTAGAAGGAAAATGCTTCCATTAAAGCAAGCATATGCTTACACACACGGATACCAAAGTGACTAAAAAGCTACAATTTGGGAACTGAAACTGGAAAATATAATTGGAAACATTCCTGGATCTTATTTGTGGAATCTCCGTCCCAGATAAGGAAATAACAATAAAAGACAAACACCCGAACCCTTGTATTTTTGATTAACTACATTCCATAAAAAACCAGAAAACATAAAGTACTTATGTCATATGTATTTGAGGCAGACTCTTGTGTATGGTACTAGGATGTGCCATTGCTTTCAGTTGTTCTATAGCTCATTGTCCATGGTGAAAAATGTTAATACAACTACTGAATAATGAAGCAATGGTTCTATTAGCCATTGCACAGTAAAATCATTTCTGCTTCTCATTTTAACACTGAAAGGAAATTTTCTGAAATACGAGTGTCTAGATATGCACATCTCCACAGTCTAGGGCTAGGGACAGACATTACACAAACTGGTTTAAGGGATCAGAAACTGGTTTAAACCTGTAACAGAACAGAAGCTCAGGGCATATAAACCAGTCTCAAAATGGCCGAAACCAGTTTGAGATAAACCTGGTTGAATGTAGTAACAGACTTAACCGATTTGGCTCAAACCTGTTTAAGCAATGTCTTTAGCAGAGCCTTTTCTGGTTTAACTTAATCCAGCATCCCCCAACATCCCAGCATGCTCTCTGGGCTGGGCCCAGCAGGGTTGGCCCCCAGGTGTTCCAAAGGCAGGGACCCGAGTCAGGTCTGCTGAGCACTTCTCCGCACCTCCAGCCCTCCCGCTGCTGCAGTGGCAGGCCAGTGTGGCCCCTGAGGCAGAAGGGGCAGGGAGTGGGGGTTATTCTACCCTCTATCATCACTGCCCCATGGGGAATGCAGCTGGATCCTCCTGCCCTGACCACTGCTGAGCAGTGGATTAAGCCCCCTCTTGTCCCCTGTGGAGTCTAGTGGAGGGAGGAGGAATGAGCTCCATCCTTGCCTCTCCCCCAGGTGGACATACTGGCCCGTGTCTAGCCGTGGCCTTGCTGAGCTGCTATAGTGGGAGGCGGCAGGGCCTTTGATGGGGGCAGCAGCCCATCATAGTGTCCGGGAGCGCAAGCTCCTTCCCAGCAGGGGGCCCTGCTGTGGGCTGGGCAGAGCTGTGGCAGACTGCACGCAGCAGCACTGGGGCCTGGAGGGGGCCAGAACCCTCCAAGCCCGTGCCCCCCTGCCCAGTGCTGTGGCCTGTAGCACCTTTCCCCATCATGAGCATGGCACCCCCTAGCCAGGAAGGGGCTCACACTCTGGGAAACTGTGACAGGGGTTTTGGCACACAGATCTGGGTGTGGGGGGCAGGATGCTTCAGTCCCATGAGTTCTGCCCTACACAATGAGCTCTGGTTCCAGCTGTCAAATGCCTTGCAAGGCAGAACGTGCCTGGGGATTGCAGCTGGAGTTCCATGCATGGGGCAGAAGCAGATGGGCCGAAGCCTCCGCCCCCAACCACCACCTCCTGGAGTGGCTCCAGAGCTGCAGGAATGGGAGGGTACATAACCGCTGCAGGCAAGGGGAAGCTGGCTTTCCCCTGCAGGGATGTTTTTCTCCCCTCACTTCTAGCTGTGGCTCCTGCTGCATCGCACAACACCACTCAGGGCTAGGAGATCTTCCTTCAGCCCTGCCACTTCAACCTGAGCTGGGCTGAAGCTGCCAGGCTGAAGAAAGCTCTCCCAGCCCTGAGCAGCACTGCGTGGTGTGACAAGAGCCACAACTTGAGGTGAGGAGAGAAAAACAGCCTTGCAGGACCAAGCCAGCTTCCCCTCACCTGTAGCAGTTTCCTCCTCTCATTCCTGCTACTCCTGAGCTGCTCTGGGAGGCAGCGGGGGAGAGGGGGCAGCTTCAGCCCAGCAGCTTCCAACCTGCATGTGGAGTTCCGGCTGCAGCTCCTGGACACCTTCCACCTGGGCGCCTTATGCCTTCCAAGGTGTCTGGGAGCTGGAGCCAAAGCTCCATGTGAGGGGCAGAAGCTTTCTGCCCCGCCACCCAGAGCAGCACAGCATGGTTGTGGCAGAGGCAGCTGGAAGTGAGGGGGGAAGAACAGCTCCCGATCCTGGCCAGCTCACATCTGCTTGTGTAGATGCAACCTTGGGTGCTGCTCAGGGCAAGGGACATGGCAGTGGTTCCTGCTGGGCTTGGGATCCCCCAGCAACTCTGAGTTGGCCCAGGAAGCCTGCTCCCCAGCCAGCCCACACCTGGTGGGGCCAGATGTCAGCGGGCAGGGCCCCTTGGGGCAGGGCAGGGAACAGGGTAATTCCCCGCTCTGCCCTTGGGGCACTGCAGTGGGGTTTGCCTGCTCAGATTGCTGCTGCCACTGCTCCCTATGTCCCCTGGGCAAGCGGGGTAAGCCCCTTCTGCCAGACACCAGAGGGAGGGGGACAGGAGGGAGCTTATTCCGTTGCTTGCCCCAGGCAAGCAGCAGCAAGGGCAGTCAGGGCAGGCAGACCCCACTGCAGTGCCCAGGGGGCAGTGGGGAGAATAACCCCCCTCCCTGCCCTCTCTGCCTCGGGGGGCAAATTGGCCCACTGTTGCAGCAGCGAGAGGGGAATACCTGGCAGACCTGGTTCGGATCCCTGCTGGTGGGACAGGGAGGGGGAATTAAAACCTCTCTCTGGCCAGTTCAACCCAGGCTGGCCAAGTCCCCCCAGCACTGCATCCCTGAAGCCGAGGGCGTGCTCTAATGCCCCCGCCCCGCCTCCAACCCCGCAGCACCTAGCCTAATCAACTACAGGCAGTCCTCAACTTACAATGTTTCAAGTTACAATGTTTCTCACTTACAACGTTTATAAATTAACACCCTGTTTTAACTTTCTAACATCAGTTTTGATTTTACAATGCTTGATCCGATGCAATGCCATGCCAGTGAACACATTCACTACATCGACTGTCTTCCTGGAAAACATCTGTCCAAGCTTTCTTGGACGCTTTCTTTAAGAAAGCAACCAAGACTCCAGAAAAACCTGCAGCCAAGACTCCTGAGAAGACTCCAGCCAAGAACCCTTCAAAAAGTCCAGCAAAGTCACCTCAAAGAAGTCCTTCCAAATCAGTGTGATTGCTAATTACAATATAAATACATGAATGTAGCTATATTACTCATCTGTAATTGACTGAGTACAAAATTATGGGTTATTTTGGTTAAAATAGGGAATTGGGCCATGGTTCAGGAACCAATCCCCCATTTATAATATCGTTTCCTATGGGAAAATCGGTTCCAAGTTACAACATTTCAACTTAAGACATAGTTTTCAGGAACCAATTGTGTCGTAAGTCTGAGGACTGCCTGTACAGGCATGTGCCCACATTTTCTCTGTCCAGAGGCTATGTCTGTGCTGTTACAAACCAGTTCAACCTAGGCAAGTTAGACTAACCTGCAAAGGTTGAATCATTGCAGGCTCTGGCTTTTTGAACGTCTGTTTCTAACCTAAAAGTACTAAAGTTTTACTTTGTATGCTACTGCATAAGTATCCCTCTTTCATTCCTTAAGTGATTATAAGACTGAAATATGAAGGGTGGGGGGAGAGGGAACTACTGAATTACTTACAAGCTAATGTGGGTCTGCTACCAATTGCCAGTTTATAGTAATGTAGTGCTTCTGAAAACCTGCTGTTTTCCTGTAACAGTAATCCTCTGTATAAAGATAAAAAAAGAGAAGGTAGAGCATTACTGTAAATAACAATTTAAAACATAACTATCATTCTGTCATCCCAGAGGAAGCAAAAACTTTAAACACAAAACTAAGATAACAAAGGAAACTATACTGACCTGTATTCAAAGAAGTGGTACAATAAGAAAACCACTTACTTGCAAATATTAATTCAGAGAGGAAATTATTGTCATTGAAAAATAGGATTAATTTATAGATGTCAGGTGCATTCATATAGCTTTTGTTAAGCAGTTATTAAAATGCAGCAGTGTCAGCTTCTGTGGAAACTGGATGATTCAGTCATATTGAAAGAAAATGGCAGATTTGAGGGCTATTTTTTTTAAACAGGAAGCTAGGGTTGGTGAGCTATTGTTAGCAAATAATCTTTCATATTTAGCCTCGTTTCTATTTACGACTAGAGAGAAACTGAATTTTTCAAACAAGTTTGTTACTCAGAGTTCGTCACCTAATAGTTTTAGAAAAATGTAATTTCAGCCAGAGGCTTTTTTTGAGCTATTTGGTTTGACTATTCATGGTATATTACTGGCACATAGGACACATGATGCAGTTTCCCCCTTGTTCATTGAAGACAACGTGCAGCAATAGAAAGGAAAAGGAAAGACACTTTCCAGTGCCAGCCCTTTATATGCAGACAAGGTTCTCTGGGTAAATGTGACATTATTTATTAGACTGACTAAATAGTTGGAAAAAATTTCCAACTATTTAGTTGATCTATAAAAGATCTCATAGTTACCCAACGAAGCTTGTCTGCCTATGTCCTTAGACCAACATGCCTACAACCAACAGCCCTTTATATGAACACTTAGCCAAGTATTAAACTTTTGCTTCCCATAGAAGAGTTAAAAAAAAAAAAACAAAACAAAAGAAACAGAGAGAACATACAATTTTAAGGGATTTTTTTAAAAACAGGGTCAGGATACTGCTAACATGAATTCTTAGTCTTCTATTCAGATGAATGTTCAGTACTTAGTACTATAATATTTCCAGGGTCTAAATGGATGTTTAAAATTAAAGGACAGACATACTTAAAATAAAACCCTTAGTTACTCATAATAGCACAAAAAGGCGCTAGTCAGAGTCATGACATCTCCATAAAAATATGAGGTTGCTTCAGAAAATAACGGCCATTTCAAAATATTGTATTTACTCGAATCTAAGATGACCCTGAATTCAAGACAAGTCCTTAATAATTAGATTATCTACATGGAAGATTTATAAATTGGTTCTAATTTTCCATGTAGGTAATCTTATTATTGTAGGGTCATCTTTAAAAGTTACCTGACCCCCTACCGCCCTCATATGCAAGTCTAAGATGAGCCCCCCCCCATATTAAATAGGAGGATCATCTTAGAATTGAGTAAATATGGTAAAACTATGTTGTATGCAATGAGTGGGAAACTATAAAGCAGAGAAGAATACTGATGTCAGCATTTTTAATGCACCCATTGTTTATGACTGTAAATGATCCAGTAAATGATCACTACACATAGACTGATTTTATCACAATTGCCATTACTTTCTGAAACACCCTTTTATATGGTCCTCGTTTATAACTCAAATTATTCAGAAATACATAATGGAACCTGCTCATGAAGTGACTGAAGAAAGCAACTACTAAAAGTTAAAGACAGGTACACACTGATTTCTCTGCTCTAGAACACTTCCCCTACCCTCCACCTATTTTTAGCAACTCTGAACACATACACTGGATTGAAGATTTTCATGCTTTTCATGATTTTCATGAAGATTTTCCATGTCCAGATGCAGGCTTTACTCAAAAGTGGTTAACTGGAATTTCCTATTTCTATTTTGTTCTCTTTTAAGCATGGGTAGAATTTAACAGAGCACTTCAGTATAAATAACTGAAATATGTGATTTGAAACTAATGCTATCAACATAATATTCATCAGTATCTATAAAAAATTACAACAATAGTGTTCTGATGAAGTTATTCATTTGAATGTTAAAAAAATTAAAAAATAAAATTATTTTATTTCATTTTTTGGTGTTTTTCCAATTGGCTTCCAACTGCAAATTTAATGAAAGATTCCATCAAAATCCGTGTTTATGGGCATCTAGGTGGATACGCACAATGCATGTGTGCATGTGTATGAGCACGTCGGGTGGGGGAATTCAATTTTTTAAACATTATTTAATTTTTTTATCACATCCTTTTATTTATTAAGAGAACTATTTTACTCCATTAAAAAAAAATACAAAACTCATTTTGAGTGTATGAAATGTATAAAAACTGAACACATTACAGGAATTTTAAGGTAACAAAACAGGAAAATATAGTTCTTCTGTACTGACTTTTCAAGCATAACCCAAATCCCATATTACTGCATTAACATAGTAGAAATATAACTTTCAAACAAAAATACCCATCAAATACAATGAGTTGGTTCTCTAAGCAATGTCTTATTCTTCAGATACACGGAGAAGAATGGAACAAGGCATACAATCAATAGGCTAGAACTTGCATTTTCCTGAGTAACCATGAGCTCAGAAGATTACTTTTGGTCACAATGAATATCTGACACATTATACATAGCCAGACATAAAAGACCTTTCCAACTCTGGTTTCAATTGTATCCAAACAGCTTTCATGAAAATATTTCCCTTCACAAGAGGAATTAAGATTCACTTTTTAAAAATTAATCTCTTTCTTAACAACAAAACACTTTTTACTTCAGCCTGTGCACTGACAGAAAAGAAAATATCAGGATGTAAGAGACAGGAGTCCTTTGTATATATACATTTCTGTACAATATAATTATAGGCAGAAATAATAATAAATTCTAAAATCCTAGAAAACTCAGATAATCTGACTGAGGTAGATTTCTAAACTTGAGAGGCAGGAACAAGAGGCTTTCTTATGGAGCGATAACCTCTATATTTTCCCCTTTATCTCTATATTCTCATTAGCAGGGATCCTGGTTTTCTCTGTTTAAAAAATCCAAAATTCTCTGACACGAAAATCCTCCAAATCCATGATACTCTCCAATTAAAATGAACCGGATATAGAGCTCGGATTAGCCTTTATCTCTATATTCTCATTAGCAGGGATCCTGGTTTTCTCTGTTTAAAAAATCCAAAATTCTCTGACACGAAAATCCTCCAAATCCATGATACTCTCCAATTAAAATGAACCGGATATAGAGCTCGGATTAGCGTCCAGGATTAAGGATAACAAAAAGTCCTTTTTCAAATATATTGGGAGGATGAAGAAGGCGCCGGGTAATGAGGGGCCCCTGCAGGATATGCTGGGCAATCTGGTGGTTGCGTCAGAGGATAAAGCGGACCTCTTTAACCAATTCTTCACCTCCGTTTTCTTGTGCAGGGACCGGGACTTCCCTGCTGTGATAGAAGCCGGACGCGAGGGGATCGCCTTCAGACCTCAGGTTGGGGAGGACCGGGTTAGAGAGCTTCTGGAGGGGCTGGACGCGTTCAAGTCAGCGGGTCCGGATGCTCTCCACCCCAGGGTGCTGAGGGAGCTGGCTGGGGTTATTGCAGGGCCCCTGGCACGGCTCTACGAGCGATCGTGGTGCTTGGGCCAGGTGCCAGACGATTGGAAGGTAGCTAATGTGGTCCCCATCTTCAAGAAAGGGAAAAGGGAGGACCCGGGCAACTATAGGCCCGTCAGTCTCACCTCAATCCTGGGGAAACTCTTTGAGAAGATCATCAAGGAGCACATTTGTGATGGGCCGGCATCCGAGATGATGCTCAGGGGCAATCAGCATGGATTTATTAGGGGGAGATCATGTCAGACCAACCTGATTGCCTTTTATGATCAGGTCACAAAGGCCATGGACGCAGGTGTCGCGGTGGATGTAGTCTTTCTGGACTTCAGCAAGGCCTTTGACACCGTCTCTCACCCCATCCTAATTAGTAAACTAGGCGACTGTGGCATAGATGCCTACACAGTCAGATGGATTGCAGATTGGCTGAAGGGTCGCACTCAGAGGGTGGTGGTGGATGGATCATACTCGACTTGGGGGGAGGTGGGTAGTGGAGTCCCCCAGGGCTCGGTCCTGGGGCCTGCGCTGTTCAATTTCTTCATCAGCGATCTTGATGTTGGGGTGGAAAGCAACCTGTTTAAATTCGCTGATGACACCAAAATTTGGGGGGAGGTGAGCACGCTAGCAGGGAGAGAGAGATTGCAGAAGGATCTGGATAGGTTACAGGGGTGGGCAGACAGGAACAGGATGCGTTTCAATACGGACAAGTGCAGGGTGCTGCACTTGGGTAGTAGGAACCAGCAGCACACTTATACGATGGGGAACTCCCTACTTGAGAGCACGGAGGCGGAAAGGGATCTTGGTGTCATTATTGACTCCAAGATGAACATGGGCCGACAATGCGAGGTCATGGTTGGCAGGGCTAACCGGACCTTGTCGTGCATCCACAGGTGCATCTCGAGTAGAGCCAGGGAGGTGATCCTCCCCCTCTATGCGACGCTGGTCAGGCCGCAGCTGGAGTATTGTGTCCAGTTCTGTGCGCCCCATTTCAGGAGGGATGTGGACAACATGGAGAGGGTCCAGAGGAGGGCCACCCGCATGATCCGGGGACAACAGGGCAGACCCTACAGTGAGAGACTGCGGGACTTGAACCTATTCAGCCTCCACAAGAGAAGGCTGAGGGGGGACCTGGTGACCGTCTATAAACTCACTAGGGGGAACCAGAAGGGTTTGGGGGAGACGCTGTTTCCCCTAGCCCCCGCTGGCATAACAAGGAGTAATGGGCACAAGTTGATGGAGAGGAGGTACAGATTGGACATCCGAAAAAACTACTTCACAGTTAGGGCGGCTAGGAGCTGGAACCAACTTCCAAGGGAGGTGGTGCTGGCCCCTACCCTGGGGATCTTTAAGAAGAGGCTGGATACCTACCTGGCTGGACTCATTTGAGTCCCGTTTTTTGTTTAGGGTTCTTTTGTTGTTCTCCTGCCCTGGCGGGGGGTTGG